AGGGAGAACCCAAGTGCAGTTGATTAAAATCCAAGAATGAGCAGATACACAATAAACAAAGACATGGCCTGGCTTGACTTGACTAAACAAGAACTTGAACACGAAACACAGCTCACCAACAGCAGGTTACACGAACAAAACTAGACAAAAGACAATGGCAACATGAGGGCTATTTATACACAAGACTGACTAAACAAGGAACACCTGTGAACAATCAAGACAATGACTCAATCAAAAAAAAAAACAGAACTAAGAACCACATGACCAAATCAACCAATAAGAACAAGACACATGAACAAGACAACCAATAGCAGGGGCAAGTTCAAGCTCAAACCGTTTTGCTACGGTTTCCGATTTGAAAGACATGTTTCCTGGAAACGGTGTGCAACGGGGTTTGAGATACGTATTTTCTTTTTTGCTGGGTGTGTCAAAAATGTCAGCCCAATCAGCAGCAACATGTATATAAACCACGCGGTATTAAAGAGACAGCTGGCACAATGTAATTAACATCAAAATAAATTCACAAGAGCAAGTATATTGTTTGCACATGTTTATTTACATTAAAGCATTAAAGGCAAACTAACCGAAATAATAAGAGCACAAGTATAGATCTGGAACTTCTTTAAGTCTGTCTAATTGCAATGTCTTCTGGTCCATATCCTTTCCTTAGGAAGGTGTGCTAGACACTGATGTAATGTAACATAAAAATACTATACATATTTATATATTTTGCTATTGTATTGTGGAGTGACACTTTCATAAACTTTTCTATATTCGAAAATTCTTCAAAAAGAACACAAAGAATGGCCTTCTCAGCTGCCATAGTTGCAACTCTTGCGTCATCAGAACAGTGTGTTCAACGCACCACCGTTTCCGTTTAAAAAACGTTTTGCACCGTTTTGTCTGGGCTGAACGCAGCCCGGGATTACATAAGGGCAAGGGAAACATGACAGGAACCATAACTATGAAAAAGACAAAATAAAAGAATAAAACATAAACCAAATAAAACAAAATAAAACATAAACCAAAACCAATGGTGAGAGTTGTTTTAAGCATGCTCAGATATTTCTTTGATGGAAAACGAGACAAAATGCTTCTAAAGGAAATTAATTTTTATTATACTTTAATTATGTATTTAGTTATTTAGTTTTGTGGTTCAGGAACTTCAGAAGTTCTGAGCAGTTCAAAAGCTCAATGAACAAGACTGAGAGCACACCGCCCGTGACTTCAAACACTGCTGCTGTAATCCTCATTTAGGAAATGACCCTGAATGACTACAAGAGAAAAGAGAAAATCAATATCTTTGAGTACGGTGTCAGACAGTCTCTGAACTGCAAAACATGAGGATGAGAGTGGTGGAAACACAAAGACATTTGAAAAGGAGTTTGATCGCCCCCAGAGAGCAGCGACTGAAATTAAATCTGATGGTTTTGGGCCTCTTTCAGTCTCGTGAGCTTGTAATTAATAATGCACTTGGCTGTAAGTCTGGACTAAAATAATGCAACCACGAGTTGTCCTAAAGAATAAACACAGATGTCCCATCATTACAATATCCAACCAGACCTCTGTGACAATAGTGACATCCCAATTACCTTTCAAAACTGATTCACAAGGCAAACATAGTGACTCATATCATTAACGGAGCCTAGATCAGTGAAGGTGACAGTTACGGCCTCTGTTGGCCTATTAACTGCCTCTAAATCCTGTCAATCCTGAGTTCATCCCAAACATCAGATGGTTTATGATTTCTGTGCCACCCAAATGAAACTATAATTCTAAAGCGATGAAAGCTTTATTGGCTGGCTGCAGCATCGCACCAACAATATATTGTTTTATTTTTCTCTATGTGATATACTTTCTTGGGACTGAGCTAACAGGGCCGACAGCTTGCAGTGAAATGTTATTCTGTGATTCAAATGTGAATTAGTACAGCAGAATCAATGCATATCATCAGGCCATGGTGCTACAGACATCTCAGCTGTGCTCTCAGAGGGTTTTTTTTCTCTGTCAAACACTATTCATTATGCATGCTCAGTCAACAACCATGGCCATAGAGCATTTTCAAATGCTAATTGTTGCAGTTGGCTCTAGCGAATCTGTTTGGTGTGAAAGGAAGAGAGAGCTCCAACAAATAATTACCAATAACGATCCTTATTTTTGAATATGCATTTTTATTGGCTGCTATTTTGTGCTTAAAGGCAGCGTGAAGGGTGATTTCTGCTGCAAAACAAACTACAAACTAAAACTTCTGTTCATAAACTGAACCCAAAGCATATCTTTCTTAAAAAAACGCTTGTAATGAAGGATACCTTTCCTATTTCTTCGGTTCTTCTTTTTTAAAATTTAAACAAAACATTCATGCAGCACCTATGGTGAATTGCTAAACAGCATAACTAGTTGTTCACACACAATGTTGATTAGATCTTACTTTTGCTCAGAGAAAAGAGAGCAACGCTCAAGAGGATGCAGAGAGATCACTTGGATCATGTTGCTATGACGACGGGGGGAGTATCAGGTGTGAGAGTGATTAAGGAGATGTGCAGGGCTACATTTAGAGATGCTCGATGTACACGGGGAGATGTGGGGGAACCAAAACACAAATGTGACCAGGAATCTATTTATCTCACAATCTGACACATTTGCTATTAATTTCTGCTCTTTTTTCCATGTATCACACTGTAAATTGTCCGTTGCTGGATTGATTTATTAGGTTTATAGAACTGATTAGTGTTTTATTTATGGTTTTTGTGGGTTAAGGGGATCATTTTGCCACTTTTTATCAGCAAAACAGTCGAAAGGTGAAAGGAAACATGGATACAGAATACAAACAGGATACAAACACGAGACATCTGTATAAGTGCTATTAATAAGTGCTATGTAATGGTATCACAATATATTTGTACCATATTAGTCTTTGGTTAATATTAGTGATTTTTAAATGTATCTGTATCTTCAGCTTTGGATAGGTATTGGATAATTAATTGAGCATGTTCAAATATTTTTTTTTATTTTTAATTTAGATTACCTTTGCCGTTATCTGACACTCACTTCAAGTTAATATTTTAAAAAACAATAAGGTAACACTTTATTTTAATATGTCCTTGTTACATATTTTTCATGTATTTACTATAGCAATAACCGTAAATTATTTGTAATTCCAATAAGCTAAACTAGACACTAACCCTTAACCTATAATTATTCCATGTTCTTAATTATTATTAGTGACTACTTATTTGTGTGTGACCAAAAATAATTGTAATAACGCTCTTAAATGTGATATTAAACCAAAATTAATTTCCATTTTTCATACTGTACATTATAATATTGTGATGCCTAAATTCACCTGTAGCTTCTAAAAATGATTTATTTAGTTTTTAGTGTTCCCTTTCGGTCAGTCACGTTCGACGTTACGTCAGTCGTGACTGACGAATTGGGATCTCGCCCGAGAGCCCAATAACCTTCGAGCTTTCTCTTCTCTCTTTCTGTCTCTCCTCTTCTATCTTCTGTCGTTCTTCTTCTCTCTCTTTTTCAAATCTCTTTCTCATTTTCTCCAGTTCTTCTTGTTTTTCTCTCAGCTGTTCATCATGTTTCTCTTTTCTCTTTCTTTCCTCTTCCTCTCGTTCTCTTATCTGTCGTTTCTTTTCATCCTCCCATTCTCTCTGCTGTCGTTTAATTTCCTCTTGAGTCTCTTTTCTGTCAATTTCAGCCTCTTTTATTTTTCTCACCCATTCTTGTCTCTCTTTCTCTTCTTGTTCATTTCTTCTTTTCTCCTCCAAATCTCTTTTTTATTTCTTCTTCTTCTTTCATCTTTAACTGTGTCATAACACATTCTTGTTCATGTTTCATCTTTTCTCGATCTTGTTTGTATTTCTCTTCTCTCTTTCTATCTTGTTCTTCTCTTTCTTTCTGCTGTTTTTCATACTGCAATCTCTGATTTTCAATCTCTCTCTTCATTTCTTCTATTTTTCCATCATATTCAGCTCTTTGCTGTTTTTCCTCCTCTGATCGTTTCTGGTTTTCAATCTCTCTTTTATTCTGTTCTGTTTTGTGTTTTTCATCAAATTTTTTCATCATTTTTTCCTCTTTTTGTCTGAACTCATTCTCTCTTTGTTTTCTTTCCTCATCTGCTTTTATTTTCTTTTCTTCCAGTCTTTTCTTGAGCTCTTCCATTTCTGTCTCGTATTTGGCTCTCAGTTTCTCATTTTGAGCCTGTATTTCTTTTTCTCTCTGTTTCAGTATTTCCTCCATTCTCTTCTTAATGGACATCTCTGCCTCCTCAAACATGCTGTTAGTGAAGTATCGACCCTCATTACTGTTCTTCACCTCTTCTATCATCTTTAACAGTTGAATCACTTGAGTTCTGTCTTGTTTTTCTCTGTTACTGAAAGCCAGGAATCTGTTTCCACAATCTCTGATCAGTTTCTTCAGTTCAGCAGAATTACTTTGCCTCACATAATCCTCTATAGACTCTTCATCAAGATCGTCTCCTCTAGTGAACAGAACGATGCTGAACTGAGCAGCTTTTGGACCAAATATCTTCTTTATCAGATCCATAGTGTCTGTTTCTTCCTGTGTGAATCTTGCCACACTCAACACAATGACAAACACATGAGGTCCAGGTGACGAGAGTGAAACACATTTCATTATTTCTTCTGCTACGAGTTCATTTGACAGTGACGTGTCAAAGAGTCCTGGAGTATCAACAACAGTTCCCTTTCAGTCAGTCACGTTCTACGTTACGTCAGTCGTGACTGACGGATTGGGATCTCGCCCGAGAGCCCAATCACCTTCGAGTGTAAACTAAACAAGGCAATGACAGTTGGCGTGCGTGTTTCGCCACGCGCACCCCGCCCCGCAGCGCGGGTATAAAAGGAGAGCGCGTGCAAGCACACATCAGCTTTTCGCTTCGGAGCCGAGCCTTCTAGCAAGACTGAATCTCCATGAGTGTCTACGAGACAGCCTCTGGCGTTGGTGTTACGGCGCGTCAGCGGGGGTTGCCATCCAGTGCTGCTTCTCTTCGGCGTGCTGCAGCTTCCATTCTGCGGTCTCACCGCGACCTCCCCTGGGCGCTTCAACGCTCTCTCTAAAAGAGTTTCCAAACCTAAAAGAGCAAATATCTAAAAGAGCTCCACGAGCGACGGGCGTCTTTTTAAAAATGGCTTCCCGCTCGTGTGTTTGTACCACCGCTGTACGGCCGGGGTGCATAGTCTCGGCTCCTCAGCGAAAAACTGATGTGCGTTTGCACGCGCTCTCCTTTTATACCCGCGCTGCGGGGCGGGGTGCGTGTGGCGAAAAACGCACACCAACTGTCATTGGCTTATTTAGTTAGCACTCGAAGGTGATTGGGCTCTCGTGCGAGATCCCAATTCGTCAGTCACGACTGACGTAACGTCTCCGTTCCCTCCTTCAGGGAACGAGGGTTACAGAAGTAACCGAGACGTTTCATTTTAAATATATTATAGGAAATGGTATAGCATTTTAATATCGTCTATTTATCATTTAACAGTCATAAATGACAATGTCATTTATGTAAATCATTATAAGATAATAATCATTATAATAACACTGTTAAATGTGATATTTTTCAAATCTGAATAAATTTCCATTTTTCATACTGTAAATTATAATGTGTTTCAGTATGTAGTGCTTTATTTTAAATGTATTTAGAGAAAATATTATAGAATTTTGATATCTGCTATTTATCATTTAACAGACATAAAATGAAAAAATTATATTTATATGACTATAATATATAATTATTATAATCATAATAATTTAATATAAAAGGCATTTTAAAATGACTGATATTAATATTTGTTGTTTATTTTAAATGTATATTTAGAGAAAATAGTATAGAATTTTAACATCTGCCATAACATGAAAATAGTATCCCTTCGCAATGTGCAATGCCTGCCAGACCATGTCTATAACAATTTATGCATATTTATGGTTCAGTTTAACATGAGCATGCCAGGAGATGATAGATTTTATTGGTTGTTCATGTTCTTGCATAAATATCCATCCAGTGCTTCAAACAAAGGGTTGAAAAGGCATTTGAGTGCATTTGTCTTTATGAGGAAATGGAATAGACCAAACAGCAAACCATCTTACAAATGCAGCTTCAGAAGTCAATCGCTGTCTCTGAAGTGACAAAGAAGTTTTAATATGATCTCTCTGGACCTTAGCCACACAATTCTGCAGGCTCATCATATGAGCACAGGAAAGTACACCCACTCTACTACCACCCATACAGGAACCATCTGCTAGCGTGGAGAGGGATTGGACTAAATGTAACACGCACAGCCCAGGTAACAGTGCTTTTCTTGCAGAGATATGGAAACATCATGAACATGCCAAATCCTACTCTTATACCTATGATCGAATAACTCTTAATGCAGGTTTCAGACAGGAGAAAAATGACAATCTCTTCAGACGTGTCTGGGATTGGTTCAAGCTCCCCTGAAGCCATACTATTAGACCTTTGATAAAGTGGTTAGACAACTCACACTGAATTTGTGATTTACTCAATTTGGCTCAAGGACTCTGTTTTAACAGGAAGCTACAGGATAATGGAAATTGTGCTGATGGGAAATAGAAGAAAATTAAGCGCAGAAATTCAGAGGGGAGAAAAAAAAACACCAGTAGACTCAAAATTCAAGTCATTGCATTATGCTCATCAGTCCCTATTGTGACCTCCTTTGAAAGTCAGCGCGTTATGATGTCATGATTGTGGAGGCCCGGAGGACCCTCGCTAGTGATGCATTTAGCCCTGGCCGTGCAGGTGACAAGCATTATATTCACCGAGGTGCAGTCTCTCTACTTTATTCTGCTTTTGATGTAATGCAGCTGGCAGCTGGTTCTGGCTCAAGACTTGGCTGTATTCCATTATACATGAGCGGAACGCATTAACACTAGGAACAATGACAGCTCAATCCATAATAGAGTGTGTTGAACTAGAAATGTACATTAATGATCAGGCTTTGACTCAGAGCTTACCAGGCCTCGGAGAGCAAAGCAGAGCAGAGCTTAGCAGAAATTCTTGGTTGAAAACAGATGAATATAATGGAGACAGAAATAAAAATGAGAGATTTTTGAAGATGCTTCACTCTACATTGTCTTTCTGCTTTGGTTTTGACTGTAGAGAATGGTTAAATGGTCAATGGAGGAGAGGCTTTACTACGCTGAATAAACAGCTTTTGTGGGGAAGTAGCTTATCATTTAATGAATCAACAGCCTGTTCGATAATCTTCAACATGTTTTACACTAAACAATACTTTCGTTGGGAACTCTAAGTAGATTTTACCCTGATAAAAATGTTATTTTTAGAAAGAAGGCAGAGTAGGGAATGTAGCGACAGCTAGAACTAATTTACGGCATTACTAAACAAATGGGTCGCATTACTACTGAATAATAATAGATGTTGTGTAATACTGTGTATTGTCTAAAAATATCAATGTTTTCTTTCATTGGTTTTTAGGTTTTACCCGAAGACTTGAATTGTAATGACTGCATTGTGCCTTATGTTGATATAATGTATTTTAATGAATGAAGGACGTGAATAATTTAAAATATTGTATTATATTGTATGTACGTCAAAAGAGTATTTAAACATAATGATTTAAAATGTACTTTAAGGTAAAACATAATTTGGCGTTATTACAAAGTACATTTTTTAAAAGTGTACTTAAGTGTGTTAAGAAACATAGTCATGAAATTGTACTGTAAGGATACATTTACATGACAATTATGCATGCCAGACCAGTTGGCGATGTCACTTTATAAAGAAATACTATATGCACCTGTGCATATACTCACTCTTATAGACTGAACACATAATATGCATGTGCATGACATCACCGTTTTCATAAATTCGTGTTTTTGTAGTTTACACGGAGACAGTAATGGTATCTTTTTCAAAAACTTGCACTTTGAAACCCATTTTCAAATGTTTTCAGACCCACAAAACACCATTGTTGTGTAAATGAATGGGCAAACTGCATAAAAAGTTTTCTGTTTTTATTTGAAAATTATGTCATGTAAACATACTTAAGCGGCCTTTTAGGGCTGCACGATTAATCGAATGCGATTGTCATGCGCATTTTGTTAGTAAAGCCGGTTCTGTAATCAGCAGTAAATCATCATCACGTGCTTTCAGATGGAGCAGCATTTACTACACAGAGCCGTAGTTCACTGACAAGTTACGCAAAAAAATCGCTCTCGGTGAACTACGGCTCTGTGTAGTAAATGCTGCTCCATCTGAAAGCACGTGATGATGATTTACTGCTGATTACAGAACCGGCTTTACTAACAAAATGCGCATGACAATCGCATTCGATTATTGGGTTTCTTCTGCGAGGCGTATTTGGAGTTTTAGGGCGAGAGCGCCCTCTGGCCTTTGGATGGAGATTTACTGCTGATCACAGAACCGTGCTTCACTGAAAGGTACGCATGACAATCGCAGCTTCTGTCGAATCGCGATTTCGATTCCATTTCGATTTATCGTGCAGCCCTAATCTGCAAGCAGTTTTTTTTTTGTTTTTTTTGAAGTACACTACAAGTGCACATTCAGCACAGTTCAGTTTCTTAAGGATAATCTTGCTGTGTTATATGGACGTAAATATTTAAAAAGCTTTGCATCGAATCCATTATTTGTCTCAGTGGCTTTTCTCCCGTTATACTTTATGATATTCTGTTAATTATGTACTGAAAAATGGGAAAAGTAAGGTACTCTGAAAAAAGAAAAGGGGTTTCTTTCTCTTTTTGTGAGGAACTGACTTAGCATGAAAGCTCTGCCAATTATATACAAAGCTCTGGCTGTTTGACCCACACCACTCTGACACCCACCTTGGTCCAAACAAACTGTCTCAGGCTTTTTTACCGCTTTTAATGCTTTTACAGAGCAGCAAGAGAATTTAAGTATTCAGGAGAAATGGGAGTATTGAACTAGACTTGTTGTTTACACTTGACTTGTGAGAGGATTGTAAGTGAAAGCTTCTCATCCTTCATCCCTGCAATCTATTCACACAACACAATTCTGGTGTTCAGAACCTTCAAAACCTAGGATAATTGGGTGCGTCGCAAGCTACCCTGGACTATGTGCAATATAAAAATGATGTACTGTTCAAAACAATGCAATTTGCTGGTTATGTTACGGCTGATGTTTAATTTTGTATAGTTCTGTGCTCAGACAAAAAGAAACACAGGTTGCTCCTTTTGTTCCTTAAAATTCTTATTTCCTTCTTTTAAAGTGTTGATAGCTCCCAGGCTTTTAGTAAAAACACCACTGGGGCATGTCATACTCATGGAGTGTTTTATGATCAATCTTAACTACAACACAAAGTCTCTGCAGTCAAATCAAAGCTAAATGTAATTTTGTGAATGCAGCTTTGTTTATGCCTTAACTCCTCTTCGATCCATGTTTGAGTCCATAAAGGCTGACACAATATTGCTGGCTTCCTCTGTCTCCTTTTTATGTCTCTCAGCGTTTCTTCTTTAAACTCTTGTGAAATGATGGGGGGTCTGTGCTTGTGCTGGCTGGCTGCTGTGGTTAGCTTGTTTAACAGCTTCAAGGCATATGCGCTCCAGTGAGCTATTTCTTAGATGAACAACTGACAGGCTTGTTCACACCCTACAGTACTGTCAGTCTAGAACATAGCAGAGTCATTAACTGAGATTAAACACAATCTATCAACCGCCTGTGGAAAATGATAAAG